CCCCCCCCCCCCCCCCCACGCGGGGTTTACATTGATAGGTGCATTAATATATAACCCCCAAATTCGCTTAAGTGAGCCTGTTCGTATGCCAACGATAAACAAGCCGCCTATCACATACTATCATGATGGAACTATTTTAAGGTGACTCGACCGAGTTTTTTTTGGGGGGGTACCATACTACTTTAAAAGCTCTCTGGTAACCCCACCTTTACTTTTATCGTAAGACTAACACATGGAATGGATAACATATAGATCAATCTACAATATAACATAAAATTTTTGGCGATCGGAGTAAATGTCACGTGGTTATAATGCCACGCCCCTTTGAGGTCTGAGTCGAAAATCTGCTGTTGCAGGCATTTTTTCGTAAAAATCTCTCGGCTACACAAAGGGCGCATTAGTGCCTTGCGCTCAACAGAGTTTCACCAAATTCGCAAAGACCCAATTCGAGAAATTCAGCGGTTTCAAAATTTAGGTCATAATTTATGGGAAAATGATAAGCAAACTTTACACGGATTATATCTAATAAGCTATGAGATTCATCTCTTTATTTTGGGCATCGTTATAACAGATGGGTCCTTGCAAGTCAGTAAAACGCTTTAGGGCCTTGTAAATGCGCGCGATTTTGAGCAAAGCAAACATATAGAAATTGTAGTTTTTGCTATTTGTTGACGTTTGTCAGCGTTTAAGAGTTTTTCTCACGAAAAAGACATTTTCTTAAAAATTCGTAGTTTTTTTTCCTTCAAATTTTTTCAGGGCCACAATTGATTAACTCACTACCCGGACTCTGAATTTCATAGTCATTGAAAAACTGTGACATTATCTTCTATTAGCCCAAACTTGAGTAAACATTGAAGATTTTTAGCGTTTTGGCTGAGTTTGTGCTTTGGGAGTTGTCTATTGTTTTTAGTCTGTTATGATACAGCATTTTTGTTCAGCACGCGTCCAATGACCGCGCTTGGCTGACTTCGGAATGCTTATGACCTGCAAGGACCCATCTGTTATAACGATGCCCAAAATAAAGAGACGAATCTCATAGTTTATTAGATATAATCCGTGTAAAGTTTGCTTATCATTTTCCCATAAATTATGACCTAAATTTTGAAACCGCTGAATTTCTCGAATTGGGTCTTTGCGATTTTGGTGAAACCCTGTTGAGCGCAAGGCACTAGTGCGCACTATGTGTGGCCGAGAGATTTTCACAAAAAAATGCCGGCAACAGCAGATTTTCGACTCAGGCCTCAAAGGGGCGTGGCATTACAACCACGTGACATTTACTCCGATCGCCCAAAATTTTATGTTATATTGTAGATTGATCTATATGTTATCCATTTCGTGTGTTAGACTAACGATAATACCCGTAATAGGTGTCAAAATCTTATCCAACAGGGACAAATCAAAATGTCAACAAAAATGATAGAAAGTTGCACGAGGAGATTTTTGCAGCAGATAGCAAAATATAGTCATGAAAAAAAAAGGAAATAAGTCGTGACAAAAACCTCGAATCCAGCTATTGATAGTTGCCGAATATGCAAATATTATTTTCAACGTTTAATCGCCTTTTTCTTATCGCCGGATTCGCCAGCTCCCGCTGACGGCTGCATCGCCGCCTTAATATATAACCCCCAAACTCGCTTAAGTGAGCCTATTCGTATGCCAACGATAAACAAGCCGCCTATCACATACTATCATGTTGAAACTATTTTAAAGAACCCTTAAAGATGTAACATACACCTTAGTTAATGGAGCTCGAAAACATTTGTTGAATAGAAATGCTTTTATATGAGGTCATTCAGAGCTATCAGCTGAGGGTTTTCGCTTCTTTATTTTACCTGTGCAGTTAACGCCGTTTCCGGTATATCCTGGTTTGCATGTACAAATGTAGGAGCCTTTAGTGTTGTTACAGAAAGCATTGGAGTCGCAGTGATGCTTTCGTGTCTCACACTCGTTGACGTCTGCAAAATATTAAAAAGAATGCATTTATTTATTTAGAATAATATAATTTTTACTGAACGATTCCTTCAGTCGTCTGTTGAAATCTTTGGTAGAAAATCATTTTGATGATAACCGTTTTCTTAGATTGCGTGCCACAATAAGGGAAGTGGCTAAGCCAGACGACACACCACTTCATGGAACTGATGGTTTGTTAGTTATTTGCTACCCTACGTACTTACAAAAGGGACATGTGTTTCTTCTGTATACTAGCTCCTTTATTAATCCCTGGATCATGAACGTTAATGTCTATACGTATTCTGAAATGTCATTCGTCCCCACCTTCTAACCCGTGAAGGGCGCGGGGGAGAGAGATGCGACCCCAGGTTCAGGGGGTTGAGATGTGTGACATTTTCAGACCAGTTCATAATTTTTCTGGCAATGCAGGTTTATTAGGCGCATACAAAACATTAATGGTATCGTCTTATTTCCACACTCCTTTTTTCATTTTCAGACTTTAAACCCATCAGGCCCACACAACAGTAGTGTTTTGTATAGCTCCACCCTTCAGTAGGTCGCCGTTTATTACTCTTGTTTGACTGCTTTCTTTAGGTCCTGTTGAGCTAAGTTTCGACAAGCAAAACATGGCCTTGAAACAGCGACATAGTGCAGCAGAAATGGCGGCAAACGACCCAAAGATGGGTTGAAACTGCTACAGCGACAGAGAATAAAAGCACAAATACAATAGTGAAATCCTGACAGCGACATGGCTTCCTCCTCAATACGAGAAACGACAGGTTTTGAAATTCAGACTAAGGGACATACGTAACGCCCCTTAGAGGGACTATTTCTTATGATGATTAAACTCGTAGGTAACACAATAATATATGGGAATGTTATGGGTACTCAAAGAAAATATTTTAAAGGGAGATAGAAGATAGTAGAAGTTGTATTATTTGTATACAGTAAATGGCGTGAAACTCTGCATTTGGAGTCCAGAGATTATATGGTCCCCGAGAAACAAATAGGATCGAGGTTTCTGTGGTAATATTTTTTTGCTAAATGATAAAATGTTTTGATGGTTTTCAAGAATAACGGCCCTAACAAAACAAAAACAAGCAAGGTGACCCCCTCTTTTTATTGCATTTTTTCAATGTCCTATACATGGCTATCAATTGTGCTAAGTTTGCGCAATGTCACTTTGTTACCTTTACGACTAACTATTTTAAAACAATTTACCCTCCTATTTAGAACCTAGCGGTTTCCTCGTCGGACGATCGACCAGTGTTTCGCCGAAAAGCCTTAAGCAAAAATAATTATCTAATTCATGAATGCAAATTCTCTGTATAAAAACGTCCGTTATGTGTAATTGTTATAAAATTTGGCCAGATCATGCCAATGTAATGTCTTTTCCACATTCGAGGCTAACGGTAAACGCCAAAGTCTCATACGTTACATTATTTTCTTATATTAGACGGGATGTACATTAATTCCTCAGGACTATATCAACTACGTTGCCAGAGAAAACCAGCCAGCAGATTATAACTCTTTTCTTTCTTCTAAAAGAAATTTGCCACGAAAGTATAGAAAGTTGTGTGATTTCGTTTTCAGCCGGGTACGTCTTTCACTCTTCTCCTAGACTGTCTATCGTATTTAAGGAACAAGAACAATTTCGACCTACCCGTTTCGCATTTTTCTCCTCTCCATTGCGGACTGCATGAACAAGCAAACGCATCTTTCCCTTCGTCGAACAAACAAGAACCTCCGTTAAGGCATCCAGCCATTAGGCAGCCCTGAGGAAAATGTTCATATATTACTTCGGTAAGCTAAAAAGATATACATCATTTTCCATCGACTTCCTACAGCGTTATATACCAGAAAGGCGATGTTTTAGCCACCCTTTCTCGGGCAGGGGATGGCGACGTACTACCTACAGATTCTTGCAGGTAGCGAGACTGATAGCTCAACATTTTTAAGTGCACAAATCAAATCTAATGTTGAACATAAAAATTCCACTGATAAATTGCCGTCTCTACGTTCCTCTTTTTTAACATTTACACTCTATACTTCTCTTAACTTTATTTTCAAGACATGTAAGTCTCTTCATGTTAGGGAACAAAACATTGCCTTCGATAATGATTTTGCGGAACTGAAAAATTTGGGAAAGGAAAACATGGCTCGCTCCCATACGAAACATATGACTGAAATGCAAGTGCTAACTAGTGCTCTTTTACAACAACTCAACTTTACTGTTTTACCAAATTTTTTATTTTTTTTTTACTTAGCTTCGCTTGAACAGTTGTTGCCTTAGCCTCGGTGCAGGAGTCTATTTCTTCTTGCAAGCGGAAATTAGACTCATCTGCACGCGCACACCCTTGTTGTCTAAGCAATGAAAATTCAGAACTTTTCTTACCTTAAGAAACATTGAAAACGTTGTGCCTGGATTATCAGTGAGCTTGGTGTCATCGTCAGCTGTAGAGAACTCATTCTTGTTCAGTTCACAATTGCCCGAGGACTCTTTGAAGTTAGAAAAGGTACACCAAGAATGTCTTAAACACGCTTGACTGCACGACATTTCATCCGTAGAATCGATTTTCTTGACAACATAGCCATGTAAACGCTTGTTCTCTTGCGTTTTGATGTAGGCAGACCTAGAGTCTTCTTCGGCTGCTAAAACTGCGCCAACGACGAAGCAGAAAATGAGTGAGGAAATCATGTTACTTATCTCTGCAATATCACAGCATTGTTTTCGTGAACAGTGTGTGTCTAGGTAAAGGAAGTTCTCGCGTAAAATTTGTAGGTTTCGTAAATATATATTACACAATTTTGTATATAGCAAGTTAATTAATACTTTGAGCTCGATTGACGCGTGTCCTGCAGAGTGATTGACTTGTCCTGCCAATGTAGAGGATAGGAAAATATTAAAAAGCTCGTTGCCGTTTTGGCGAACAATCAATGTTAAAAACGCCTAGGCCGGTTGAGGACATCGGAATTCACAAAATTTGTCTCTTGTTGAATGGTGAATATTAATATTTTGCTGTTGAAAAGAAGTGAAGCTTTTCTCTACCGCAGCACTGCGAAGTCTAACAGGGCATTCTGATAAAACGCTTTCATAGAGGGTCCACAATAGGTTTGGCGGGATGCGGATTTGGCTATTTTTTGTGGTGATACGCGGGATGCGAGCTCAAAACAGGAGCGGGAAGCGGGAATTTTGAAAGCGAGCGGGAGCGGGATTTCCTATTTTTATGAGCTTGGGATGTGGGAAACGTAAAGGAAAAGTAGCGGGATACGGGAATTTAGTTTTGTCCTGACCACACCGCGTTGACTGACAAAAATGGCTCTTTTGCATGTCTGCAGTCCGCCTCTGAGGTTAAGGTATAACAGCTATGAGTATCTAAGAAAGTGAAGCTTATTACCTTTTTCCGGCATTTCTATTTTCATCGTTTTCGTCAGTGTCCAAATGTCAGCGGTTGGAACTCCCATTCATTTTCAATAAAAGTCCTGCATGTTTTGTCTTGGGAGACTTCAACGAGTACAGCTGCTGTTTTCTTCTTTTAAGTGTTATGCAACCAGGCAAAATTTGTTTAAGCTAGGGTGGCACATAGTTGGTAAGCACAAGCAGCAGAATTTGTCAAATCATGCTCTCAATTGGTCCTCCTATCTTAGGTTGAACAATCGTAACGCCACAAGGACGCTACAGATCATCATTAGAATTAGGGACCTTCCAAGACAGCACTGCCAGCGTTCTCGATGCGTTAACACACCCTATCAGGATCAGCAACTCCACAGATTTTAGTTATTTCAAGAGTCAGTTGACAAAGCACCTTAAAACTAAGACAAGGCTGCTTTCTTAGTTACTTTTATTATAGTATTTTACCGGAACTTTGAGGTTTTTTTGTTTTGTCATCATTTTATTGACCACGATAATTTTTCTGAGGTTAGTTATAGTGTTGTGGTTAGCTTTAGGTGAACAGCTGCCATATTTTTAGTTTATGGATCTCCTGTGAATAAACCAGTATTATTATCGTTATTTCAAATTGAAAAGAGCTTTAATCAGAATTTCAAAGCCCGTCCAGGATCAAAGTAGACAATTTCTTTTTTGTACGGATGCGGCGGGACAAAAAAACATTCTCAACGAAAAAAAATAAATGCTAATCAGTAATGGTGTTGTTGAGAACCTTAAACATAAAGCTGCCTATTTCGTGAAGGTTAGTCTTCTATAACGTCTATTTCAATATTCAAGGAAGATCGGGATTCGTACATAAAAACAGGCAGGCAGGAAAGCGGGATTAAGAAGAAAAAATAGGCGGGAAGGCGGGATTTGAGAACCCCTGTTGTGGACCCTCTTCATAATGGTCGCATATCAAAAAGTTAATCTCTAAAAATTGCGAAATGTTAATTACCCAACGGTTATTACAAACACGCATTTTAAATTAAGTTACCAGCCGCCGTAGAATTAGCATAGCAAAGAGGATGTTTTCATGTAAATTTACGTTTGGTTAATGTTTAGCCCTCATTTACTGTATAGTTAAAATTTAACGAAAGTTTGTAACTGAGGTGTCTGTCCAAGCAAAGGTAATGGAAACGCAGAAATTTCTAAACTATGTTTCGGTTGATAAGTTGCTGAGGTCAACTATGAACATCGGTAAATAGTTTTATCTTTAACAGCAAGAATAAAGATATATTGTTTAATAACTTTCAGTCCAAAAAAATATAGTTCTTAACATCAATTAACAAGCGGCACCTGAACGTCCCACATATTAAACAAATTGGTAGTCTTATTGGGAAACTGACGGCGTTATTCTGACAGCAATTAGCTGCCCGCCGCCCGATGAGGGGACACAAATTGCCTGAACTGTAAGTATCCTGGAGAGTCCCATACAATTTACTGTAACGTCGTTACAGTAAATTGTATGGGACTTTTGGAGCACGGTCTATACTTGTCATCAAGTTCTAATAAATGCGCCTCAATTTTCGCGAGAACAATGAGGCTTGTGTTTATATACCGCCGTCTGGTTCTCAGCAGCACGCACTTTGGAAACGAGATAATTTAAAATTACTTGACTCGATAGTCATGATGAAGACTCTAGTTGGAAGAAAATATTATTCTTCCCGGCGCCATTTTGCGAAAACGCGAGGCGCAATACGGACATATTCAGTCTCTTCCAAAGCTGTAATCCCGGGGCTGTAATGCCGTCACAACTAAAATAAATAAAGTTTACATCGCCAAACAAAAAAAAAGGACAGTGCTGACCAAAGTGAAATTATTCTTTTCGACGAATACATTTTTTTCGCTCGCTGCGAATTAAGCCGCAAAAACAAAAATGGAAAACAAAACCGGATCGAAAACATAAATGAAATCACCAGAAAAACGTCTTTGGAGAGTCGTAGGGATTTCATTAGATAACCTTCGAAAATTGTACATGAATGGAACGGTCATCTAGAAATTTTCAGCCTTCCTCAAGCTATAGAAAATTCTAGGCAATTTTTGCCTCTCCGAACAGATATTTCAGAGAAAACAGTCGTTGGGTGCCCCTAAATAAATACAAGCTCGCTGTTCCAAAACCCCACACCGAATTTTATAAAAGAAGCCTTTCTCGTAGCGGAAATGTGTTGTGGAACAGCTTGACTTTAAAGGTGCGGCTATTGACATCCCTTTATGTTTTTAAAGGAAAATGAAAAAACCTTAATTTAGAGATATGTAATATTTTCACATGGCCTCTTTGTAAAGCATGCTTTTATTATTACAATTACTTTAGTACCTGAACGAAATACCATGTACAAATAACGTTACCTTACCTCTGTGATGTGCGTATGTTTGTAGACAATATACTTCCTCTGGCTATCAATAGTGTGTGTTAAAACAATGTATCTAGCGATAAAGAAGTAGTCGAATAGCCATGCATATTGTACCATCACAAAGTTTTATGGAAAAAGTGTTGCTATCTGATGTACACCTATGACAGTCTATGTTTGTAAGCTATGCCATAAGAACACTGGGTTACACTGCACTCATGGGTGCGCCACCTAAAGTGCTGCCTAGTTTTTGTTAGCTCTACCTAGAGAATCACTGGGTTACACTACACTCATGGGTGAGCCACCTAAAGTGCAGCCTAAGTTTGTTAGCTGTACCTAAAGAATCACTGGGTTACAATACACTCCTGTAAGTTTGTTAGCTGTACCTAAAGAATCACTGGGTTACACTACACTCATGGGTGCGCCACCTTAAGTGCAGCCTATGTTTGTTAGCTCTACCTAAAGAATCACTGGGTTACACTGCACTATGGGTGCGCCACCTAAAGTGCAGCGTATGTTTGTTAGCTCTACCTAAAGAATCACTGGGTTACACTGCTCACATGGGTGCGCCACCTAAAGTGCAGCCTATGTTTTTTAGTCTACCTAAAGAATCACTGCGTAACACTGTACTCACGGGGCCTAAAGCTTGCGTTTGGCTCGCCCTCTCTTCAAAGAAAAAAAACTACAGTCCGTTTCGTCAAAAATCAAGCTTTTTTCCCTAAATGTTACACCATATGTTGCCAAATAGACGTTAAAAATTTCTCCATAATAGAACAGTTTTTTTGCTAGGGTTAAACAAGTTTGGCTTTCATGATTTTCAATACAAAGCTGCAAAGCTCTATAAGAAATTATCAACATAATTACATAGCACACAAACATTGTCATCTAACTCCTAGCACGTAGCCGGAATAAGCCAAGTAATGAAGCATATAGCGAAAAATCGTCCTCAAATGGTCTCGATAACTAAATTATACTTAATTTTGCGAAAGAAACTTTTGTTTGTATCCTGTGTTACCCATCGAAAAAGCGAGGAGTTCTCGCATAACATTAGGTATAACCGAGGTAATACTCACGGGTTTCACGAGTTCCTATGCTCTATTTTTCGCAAGGAAACAAACTTCAGTTCTTACCTTACAGTTGTCGGTTCTTTTACTTTGCATTCGACAACAAATTAAAGGCGAACAAAGCGATGAAATCCGGCACTCTTCTCTTATAAATAGCAAGCCGCACGAATTAAAATCCACCGATATGCACTGCATTCTCACTACAAATATAAATATAAATAGAAAATGCCGTGGAGAAAAAACGACGAGGAGGAAAGAATGCCAGATCTTCGCCTCGGCAATGTATTCCAGCTACCAAGCCGGCGTATCGCCAGAAGGTGGACTCGAAGTGGGACAAACCTTGTGATTTTTTAGAAGCCCTTTGCGCGCAAACTAATTTATTCCGGCGCGAAATGAAGATTAACAAAATGTATACTGAAACCTAATACACGACAAAAAAATTTTCGCACTTTCGAGGTGCGCGACATATTAAATGGCATTAAGTCGGATTAGCTGCCCGCGAAGAAAACATCTCTGGATTGTACTTCCAGTAAAAGCCATTTGTGTCTCTTGCCAACAGAGATGTTTTAAAATTCATCATAGTTTTAATTTAGCAGTCAGTTCGTCTTTACTGCAAATACCGCTGGATCGTTTAAGGTCAACTTAATTTCACTTACGATTATGCCGCGAATACCGCCATCTCTGGCAAGGTCTGGCAAGGTGCGAAAATACAAGGCTCTATACAAATTAGTACATTTTCAAAAAATTACTAATAGCGAGTTAATAACAGAAAGAAGGGCAGTGGATAAAAACAACTGCAACAACAATGAAACAGTTTTTAAAATTGACCTGGACATCTTATAGTGTTATTTATTTTATAAAGGAGAATAGAAAACGCAATTGCTTGAAATGTCAATTTTGCCCGTCTGTCGTATCAGTTAACGTAAAACAAGGCGCACGCCCATTCTATCAATGAATTAATTCCTTCGAAATTGAATCGTTTTCGATATCGGATCCATTTCAGTATTCATTTCAGTATTGCAGGTGTAACGAGCAGTACACACCACGTAGTTAGGAAGATTCTGGTGGCTCATGATAGAAATTTTATCCACAAAAGTCTAAAAGATTTTTTTAGTCTGAAGGACTAAAGAAGATGTATTAATCGAGCGATAGCGCTAGCGAGGTCAATACCTCAAGGCCTGACGGGGTTCTAAATAAAAAATTCACTCCGTATTACACAATGTCATGCAGAAATGCAATGTGATACCAGTAGTAACTAGCATATAATTTCATTTTCATATATTTTTCTTTTATTAACGAATATGAGGCCGCTTAGACTGGTTGTAACGCCCCAGTTAAGAAAAACAAGTGACTGGTCATTCTTTGGTAGTTTGAAAATATCTCATTAAGAGAAACAAGATTTTGCCTCCAATTCGACAGCTGATTTATATACTTCCAAAACGTACCCGGCATGATGTTATTCCGGCCCTATTAAAAATCGTTGTATTTTTCGGAAAAGAACTGAACCCGCTTAAGTTTTCCATCATACGTAAGTTGACTGTGCGGTAGTTTTTTGTAATCGAATGGACTTCTTTCCTTTTCTTAAATTTGACTATCCGAAAACACTTTTTAGAAAGAAGATGCGTGGGTGTCCTATGTTTAAGTGAGCGGAATCGCTCCAGGTAGAGAAAAGTTATAACAAATGAAACAAATAATCCGAATAAGTCCTTTAAATTTATCTTTAAATTTGTTTACTATTTTTCGTAAGGAATTATTCTTCGCCCATGTTATTTCTAATACCAAATTCAGTAAAAAATAAGAAGGCAAATAGTTTTGTTTGTTATTGATCGCAGCACAAGCGTTCAATTTTACTTCATCCATCGACTGGCTTTGCTGATTTGGAGGGAAAAGCAGGAAAGAACTGAAGGAAAAACTGTATGCACATATGCAGAAGTGCAGTGTTTATAGTTTTATAACATGTGCACTGTGTCGCTTTTACTCCTGTCGACTTTTTTCTCGTTAAACGAGAGACCAACAGACATCAATCTTACCCTCTGTGCTTCAAGCGAACACCAACGAATTTTATTTTGAGTGGTTAGTTTGAAATGTTTTAACTGGAATTAACTAGAGCAAATATATATATCTTTTTTTTTTAATCTCATTCAATTTTTGGCATATTTGTTGAATTTTGTTGCCTATTTTCATACGGGTAGATTTGGGAAAGAAGTAATAACAGGCGAGCTTTCGACATTTTTAGCCCCCACCCTGAGTACTCGTTTTGACAAGATATAATTATTAAAAACTCATTAATTCAATGTTCCCCATAGCTATTACCCAAGGAGATTGTGATAACCATTTTCTGTTTGTGAGAAAATTTTTACTAACAGCGAGTATAATACCATGTAAACTCACGCAGCAAACGAGTATTAAACTGAAAGTCAATAGACTTCAGTTCAATTAAACATTTTGGCAAAACTACAGACAGATGAAAAGAAGGGAGGCCTTTTTTTAGATATAGCTAATTAAAAACCGCGTTACTGGCACGCTAACAGTAAAAGACAGATATTAACTTTTGTTATAAAGAAAAATTATGTATGAAATAACAGATCAGAATCTTTAGAGGTTTCTCTTTCTGTAACTCAAATTGTTCTATCTATCGAATATTTTGCTATCGATCGATCAGATCCTTAAAAACACTGTTTCCTACTACTTTAAAAAGCTTACGAAAATTCAGACAATTCATTAAAAAAAAAAAACAAAAAACGTCGTGACGCTTATTGAGTGCATGGAAGATACAGCTGGCCCGTCGATCAATTTTTCGTGTTTACTGAATAGACCATTTTACAGATACGGCGGCCATTTTGAATTTATCAAATTTATGGAGTATTTTCGCGCGCTTTTCGGGCAAAAAGAGAACTTTAATGTATATTTCTCGGGAAAAAAGGCGATCATTATTACATCCAAACACGGCACAGCGATCTTTTTTTACCATTACAATCTTTTTCTAGGAAGACTTAAAGAAAAATTGGCCCGAAAAGCGCGCGTAACTACTGAAGCGAGTATATCGGATCGTTCTCATGCCCCCTGGGAATCCCATAATACTCCTTAAATCCAATTAATTCAATATGGCCGCCGTATCGGTAAAAAGGTCTATTGTGTTTCGTATTTTCATGAGGCGAGTTCAGGACATTTCATGAATTTCCAAAAATTGTCATAAGATTCCAAATCCATAAAAATGGATTTTGCTTCACACTCTGCAACAGGTTACCCATATATTCAATTTCTTAATATATCGAGCCTTGATGTTAAAATTATGACGTCCTAATGAGTGCTGATTAACAGACAATACCATGCAATATAAATTATCAATTAATATATACACTTTATTGAGAATTCTAAACACTACAGTAGATTTATACATATTCGCCACATATTCATTGCGCACCATCGTGTTACATGTTTTACATCCCTCAAAGGTACAGATAAAACTAAACTAGTTTGAAGAGTGTTAAATGGTCACCTATCTTGTATATCTATTGGTAAATTGTATGGGATTACCAAAACGTTAGCTATTTCGTCTGATTTTGGTTAGTTGACACTTATTTAACATGATTTTGAAGCGAATCATGGATTCTCTAGAGTGATTTGCCAGCTGCGCAAGGCTAACTACTGAACAGTGAAACCGATCAATAGATCGCTGTTAGGGAATGTAATTGACGGGAAGAGTGTCTTACACGACTAATGAATTTGCACTTTTTAGGTCGATTCTCCTAGTAACCTTAAAAACTAAGTTGCTTCCCGGTTGTTTCCCTAACGCAACTAAATTTGCACTTATTACCATCTCAGGTGCGCCTAGAATAGTGAAGCACTATTTTAAAAAGAATGTCACCGGGTTACAGGTCTTATACGGTATATATCTAGCTGGTTTTGAAAACAAAAAACTGTGATTTATTAACCAGAAGAAAGCCAAAACTACAGTTCTTATCGGTCCAAAAAGCATAAAGACACTTCAAAGGCGAAAAATAGAAGAATAAAAGAGGAGAGAACGAAAGAAGGATCATGAAAGAGCGGGGGAAGGGGGGAGGACGCAATGGCTGCTGCATACTTAGTTAAAAAAATAGCTAGTATGGTCTACGAGAAAGAAAGTCTTAATTATCTGCACGTTTGAAAATCTAGTCTGAGAAAACAGCCGACTTTTAGCGACTTCCCGAGAAATGACGTCTGAAAAAGGAGGGCAGAAATTCCATACTGATGACGTATCACTAGCCAGATCTGGGTAGGGCTTTTGATTGGTTGAAAATGTGCTTCAACCAATCAGAAACACGACCCAGATCTGGGTAGGGACGAGTCGTCGGTATGGAATTTCTGCACTCGTTTTTTCTCAGACGTCATTTCGCGGGGGAACCAGAGTTGGAGTCGCGAAGTGTCGGTTGTTTTCTCAGGCTATTGAGAATTCAGGCAAATTTTATGTTAGTTGTTACAATTGCTATCTAAGGTCAGTGAAATTTTTAAAAATCTAGCTAGATGTATCATGTGAAAGATCAGCAAAGCCAAGAACTTTATGTTATCAATATTTCACAACTCAAATATTTCGACAAATCCGTGATCATTCATATTACCTCCAGTGATACCTAAACAGCTTGAGCCACTACAGTACGATCCCCCTCCCCCACCGGCTTGAGAATCCCATAAACCACTTCCTCCCCCGGAATATCCACCACCCCCTCCTGATGCACCATTATCCTCGGAACCTCCTCCCCCACCGCCAAACCCTCCTACTGCCCCAGGGGGTGGCCCACCGTTATAGCCACTATTCATTCCTCCAGCACGTCCCCCCACCCAATTCTGGGCACGTGATCCACCCCTTTCCCCATGTTCTGGGCCGACTCTGGCGCACCCTTCCCTCAACCAACCTGCACCCACTCCCCCATGGTAGTCAGCCGTCTCGGGATTATTATTACATTGACCAGGTTGTCCCCCAGTCCCTCCGCTATAAATCGCACTTGAATCGTTCCCTACACTACTGGTGCCATTAGGACCCGCCTGACCATCCACCCCGTTATATCCATTAGACGTACCCCCTCCCCCTCCGGCAGCTAACAAAAGTTCGTTATTTGTTGTATAAACGAAGCTCCCTCCCCCTCCCCCAGTACCAGCATTGTCCTCTACAGACAGTTCCAGTTGCGCTGCCGTCAAGTTAGTAGACTGTCCTCCTTTCACTTCCACTGAGTCTCCTCCTCTCTGACCCACCACAATATTCAGAACAGTTTCTACATTCAAGGAAAACGTTCCTTGCTTCATCGCTCCTCTTCCACCATAGTAAGTTCCGGGATAATCTCCATAGTTAGTCGAGTGTGTTCCTCCTCGAGCACCCCAGGCTTTTATCAGATAAACACCGGTCTTTGGAACTATGAATCTTTGAATAATACCATATCGTCCCGTGAATCCTTTTGTTGTAAAATTGATAAGAGGCACTGAAAATTAAAACAAACCAATACATACTGAAAAAGCCTGTTTGGTAAACGCCTTACAACAAGAACTCGTGCAAGTTTCGCAAGTTTCGCGTCTCAGAAAAAATACGCTCCCCCCTAAATCCAAGTTCCACTTTACATAAGACCTCCTCGTTAGCAGCAAAGCCACCAAAAGATGTTAACTACATTTAAGGTTTTCAATTACGTTAATTTATCAGGAAAAGGGGACCTTAAACTGTTGAATGAACACTTCAGGGTATATCAGGAAGACAACGAGCATTCAGATCCCACTGATTTCACGTTATCAGTAATATGACTAAATAGTATTGTTGGTAACAAAGTTCCTCTTGTACATTGCAAACGTTCCCTCTTTCCTCAAAGTCAATTTAACACTAGGGTGCCAGCACTTCATCAGTGAAAAACAAATATGTAATATATGGCGTTTTTTCCTACTAATAATCTTTGCTTTCGTCAGTCAACTTTGTCGTGAAACCGTTAAATCAGGAGGGAGGATAAGAAGGGGTGTGAAGGTAAGCGCACTTATTCGAACGCGGGTACACTTAATTAAAGAGGCACTAATTCGAGAATTAATCATTAATCATTTTAGGCAATTTGTGATCAAACAACTCCGATAAGAAAAACGAGTACACAACTAGGAGTTTCAATTTGAAAGTTAGCGCTTGCGTCAGAGATGGAAGAAAATACGAGGAATACAGTTTGAAAATAAATAAAGGGAAGTAGATGAAAGTGACCTCTGGTAATTAGGGTTGGCAAGCCTGTTTTAAAATAAAATAACGTTATAATGAGCAATTACAAAACACTCTCCTCGTTTATAATCTGCTTGCACCCTGGACGTTTACTCGAAATCTCTCGATCTCGTCCACGAGCACGTTTTACCTGACGTCATCACACAGGAGTGAATATCCCGGATAATAATAATAAAAAAACAATCGATTGTGCATGCTTCTAATCTTACGTCCGACAAATTTTGGCATTTTCCCGCTATTGTAGAGAATGATGTGCTGGCTCGGAAAGGCTCGCAGGTAATTAAGCTCACCTCCTGTCGTCATATTGCAGTAAGCAAGTACAGCCATATCCTGGTTTATACAGGTCATCCAGTATTTTTTACTGGCCACAACCTGTCCCTCACTCATCTTTATTTCCTCGCAGCTTGCAGCTGGAAGTTCAGGAATGGATCCAAGGGCCACTGTCAAAAGAAGTAAAGTTTAGCACATCTTAATTAGCTTACAATTTACGCGTCAAATTTAAGTGAGAAAGACCTTTTCCTGATTTAATCCGAGTTAGTATCAGCTGGAAACGAACCAAGAATGAAGGGCAAGTTTGTAAAGGAGTGTTGAGGTTTATTCCACATATTTAAAATGATTTTTTCCCTCCCTTTGATTTTGCGTTGCGTGTTATTTTGTGAAGGAAAACCGAGTACATAGAATTCTCTCAGCATCCAAGGAAGAAAATTAAGGTGTCCAGTTTCATTCATTACCTTAGTGGCGAAAAATGGTAAATCACAAGAGAACACGACATAACGTAACCTTACACTTTAGCTTTAAGATACGGAAAAATGGGCGACAAAAAACGTGCAACATGTTTTGCAACATTGCTGCAAAACGAGTTGAATAGCAAAGTTGCGCGTTTTACCACCCACATAAAACCTGTCTTGCAACAAATCAGGTTGTTAACAGCTTTGAACATGGGTGGTAAAACGCGCAATATCGCTATCTAACTCGTTTTACAGCAATGATGCAAAACAAGTTGCACGTTTTTTGTTACCCGTTTTTCCGTACCTTTAGTCAACTCATACTTGGTCAGCCACCATTGTGACTAGATAGTTTTTAAAAGCAGCAACGTTTTTGAGCGACGCACGTCAATCGGAAGTGAACTTTTTGCACGGTTGAGCCGTGATTTTGAACAAACGTTTGGGCAAAACGTCTCTATAAGAGTGAAGACACCTTTCAATAAAATGTGGTAGCGTCAAGGCATATAAAAAGAGAAAAAGGTTAACTTCGCCAACTGCAAGTAGCGAGTTTTTACAGCGACGAAGTACAGGGATGACGGCGAGAAAGTAGACGTCTTCGGAGGATCGCAGCTCTCCTCCGACCCCTCTCCTTTTATTCTTTCGCGCGTCACCTGCTATTCTATGGGAAAGACAGAACAACAGGCCGGGCTGCCGCTTTTTTTATCCTTTCATCGTCCACTGTGCACTTAATATTTTAGACAAGACAAGTCTTAAATTAACTTTATTACAACCAGATATCACCTGATAACAAGTAAAAAGCAATGAGAAAATAAAATAAAAAATATTTGTAAATAACGTCAAAGGTAAAAAAGACAAATCTTCAATTGTTGCTACACATCGCGAGCCTCATCTCTGCGGCGGAGAGAGGGACTCAATGCCATTTAGTGTCCATCTCAGCTAGTTAGTTGTACTCTGTCCGTGTTATAGAGCCGCGGCAAAGAAGATGAGTGAGGTACGAAGGTGAGGACCAACTCCAGGTGTACGTTTGGGGGAGGTGTCCGTCTCATAGTCGCGTCTTTTAGAGACTCTAGAAACTGCCACCTCAGTATTCCTCCCATAACAGTACCCAACTTTAACATCCTCGCTTAACACTCAAGGAAAAATATTGAGTAAAGGGAGGGATGGGTGGAGAATCGCCCGGGATCTTTATATGTGTCATTCAGTAAATTGATTCTTCTACGATCTACCTCTATTCTTGGGCTTTTTCAAGTACAACTTGGTAACGTCTGAGATGAAGTCCTCCGGTCTTGCTTCTTTTGTGCGATTGTTGAGCTCACAGATGTCCTTTCCCATGACGTGGTTGAAACTCTGGCATCTTGCCTCGTGCTTGCAAGCTTCTAAACAATAAAGTGAACTTGGAACTTTTAGCGTCTGGAAGACATGTCCTTTTAGCGCCATTTCATAAAACGGCTGGAAGTAACCGCAGGGATCGTCATTTTGGGTACACGTAGAGGCATTTGGAGATTGATGACAGAAGCAAAAAACGATCGTAACAAATTGGATCAGCTTCATGTTATTATTGAACACAACGCCTAAAAATAAAAATGGCAAAATCAGTTGTAAGTTCATGCGGCATTGATGCACAGAAACGCAACCTGTATACCACAAAACTGGGCCCGAGGGTTCGCAATATGCTAATATCGGCTAACAGTAAATAATACGGAATTGCCTTGCCCTTTAATGGTTCTGCTTGGCACCTCGCGTTTCTTCGTTGCCTTTCGGGCAAGGGGTTTGCGCCAATGATCGAATGGCTAGCGGTTGACTATTTTTCAAATGGCGATTTAATTCGGCGTCGATCATGAGATATCGTTCCGGAAATTAATTCCAAATGGACCAATAAAGATCCCACCAGGCTTACTTATTTTGTTTTTCATACTTTTAGCGACGAGGATGTATATTTTACAAGGTACGACGCTAAAAGAGCAGTTCATATAATACGTTGAAAAACAAAACTCTTCTGGACCCATGAGAGTAATGAGAGCGGCCGAATTTTGGGGAAATTCGAGCTAACAAATTACAAAGGTAAACTTTCGCGTGAGACGAAATATCATGAAATTTTGGTGCATCCGATTGTTTTATTGTCGGCGAAATTTCTCGAGCGAGGTAGTAAACCGAAACCAAACTAGGCAGCATAAGATCAGACGACGTACTGATGCAAAAGTTCGTTTTGAATGGACGAAAATTCGCTTCGTTCAACGAAATTTTGTTTTTTTGACCGAAAGTTTGCTTTGTCCAAACCATTTTCCGTCCCCGCGAAACGAGATGTTGCAGGCCTGTCATCCTTGCGGTCAGCGCCACGGATCGAGAGCTCTGGTAGAAGAATAGCTCAGAAAAAATTCGGAGCTCCAGGTGAGAATCGAACTCACGACCCTCTGAGTTCTAGCCACTGAGCTACTGGAGGCTTTATGGCGAGCAGGGTCGATATTTGATTATAACCACACCATTCATAGAGGACTGTATGCGGACCAAAAAGGCGCGTAAGGCAGTACAGCAGTTTCCCCTTATGTAACCGTTATCAACCACGGTTATCAGTGAGATTTTAAATCACGCTAAAGGTAAGCGGCAAATGTCAGACCGAAGTTGCCTAGTCCCTAGGCCTCATTATTCCGCGCGGTCAATACGTTTCGGGTCACGTGATCCTAGCACGCGTGTTCGCCTCGAAGACGTCACC